CGCGGGTCTTGGATCGAGTCTGGGCCCCCGCCTGTCCGCACAGTGTCTGACCCTTGGGGTCGGTCCGCGCCTGCTAGCCTGCGGTTGCAGCTCCCGACGTTTGTAACTGACAATGACGAGATGCGCGCAGCCCTCAGAGTCATTCGTGCATGCGTCGACTCATGTGCACCTCTGTCTGGAGCACCCGCGCACCAGCCTCATTTTTGCGTTGCCTGAGTTTCGGACTCTAGTCAGTCTCCCGTCTTTTCGTTTAGTAGACCTGGACCTCTGTCAACTCGGAGCGGCCACCCTTTCGGCCACTCGAATGTTCAGCTGGCACTGTCCTCAGCTCCAGCGCCTGAACGCTCGTTGCAGTCTGCGTGGCAAGGTGTGCTCGGGATCGGGGCGACCTCATTTACAATTCGACGGCCGAACGGCCAAAGGCGTGGCGTGCCGCTTCAAAGCGGCGCGTTCCCCCGTCCGAGCCGCAGAGCTGGTGGCCGACTCCCTCGTCGAGGCTATAGATGACCTGTCTCGGTCCAGGATGTATGATCTCTGCGGCCTTCGGCCATGATGTAGTGTTACACAGTGTACGTCTGTGCTGCCTGCAGTGGCCATCGCCACTCGTGGTCGTGAGGCATCGCGTCTTGCCATCGCCACCGTCAGCTTTTCTAAAATGGAACGCTGTGGCCACGGCGACCCTCCTCGGCACGATAACAACTTTAGTGTGGGGTGTGCTGGGACAGGGTTTCAGTGGCCGCACTTATGTATTTGTTTGTGCTCAAGCTCCCAAGCCCACCCGCCCTCGCTTGAGGGGTTTAATTTCGAAGTTCGACGTCTGTGCCGTCTGTGCTGCCTGCAGTGGCCATCGCCACTCGTGGTCATGAGGCATCGCGTCTTGCCATCGCCACCGTCAGCTTTTCTAAAATGGAACGCTATGGCCACGGCGACCTTCTTCGGCATCATCATTATCACCATCATCATCATCATCATCACCATCACCATCACCATCACCATCATTATCATCACCATCATCGGGACACCGACGGGACACCGGCGGGACATCGGCGGGACACCGCGCGGCACTGGCCCCCGGAAAGGATACATTTGGTCCGGTCGCGCCTCAGCCGGAGGCGGGGCGCCGGCGGGACACCGCGCGGCACTGACCCCCGGAGAGGAATCATTTGGTCCGTCCGCGCCTCAGCCGGAGGAGACTTTCTTCTCGCCCGCCCACGCAGCTTCGCCTCGCCCACACGCACGGCACGTACGAACACGAAACCGAAACCGATTTCCCAGTAGGGGGGCTCTCCGGTCCACTACGATCTCACTCCCTCACCTCCGATTGCCCGATATCGGCCAACGGTCGGGCCGCCCTCCTACAGGAAACCTACTGGTCAGAGCACGAAGCTTCCGTCTGGAGCATCGCGTTTCCCGCCCGGACGCTTGTCGCGTCTCTCAAGGACGACTGGGAGCGCCTCCATCGTCCGAGCCGCAAGGACCACGCGTGGTCTGCGGAGCAGCTCGTGGTCTTGCAGAAGGTCGTCGACGAGACGAGCATAGACGACCAGGCCGAGAAGGAGCAGGGGTACCCCGAGTCTCGGCGGTTGCGATCCCACCGTCTTCTCTGGCCTCCCTGCTTGTGTCCAGTTCCTCTATCCCCTTGATTTAACACCGCGCCATCGCGTCATCTGCCACCCTTCGATCCCGATCCCTCCTGCCTCGCCCGCTCGGTGGCTGTACGTGGCGGGCGCCCCGGGGAGCGGCAAGTCGGCTGTTCTGCTGGAGTCGGCGATTGCGGCTGCAGCGCGTGGCCTGGGCGTCCTCATCGTCTGCCCGACAGGTGGGTGCAATTTCCGGAAATGGGCTTGGGCCCGTCGGCCATTCTTCTGCTTTGGTGTATTTCATGAGGTTCTAGCAGGTCTTGGAGGCTCGTGGAAGGCTTTCAGGAGTTTCCTGGGCGTCGTCAGGCTGTTTTTGGGCCGCTTGATCATGGTCGGCGCTTGCGTTCGGGACCTTTCTGGTTCGTCTCTCGGGGCATTCCGAGGGAGGACTTCGACTTTCAGGGCCGTCCGAGGGCCCCCTTGCGCCGACTTGGGTTGTTCTCCGATTGTCATTGGACCCTCGCGAAGCTTTGTTGGGCCATCTGGGGCCTTTGAAAGCCCTCGTGGGCTGCTTTACGTCGGCATCGCGATTCTGGGGTCCTCCCTGCCTGGTATTTCTGGACGCCGCTCCACCAGGTCAGCTCGTCCACGGTTTCGTGTCGCAGCTCCCCGAGGCCGACCGCATCGAGAACATCCGCGTTGACACCATGCATGGCGTGCTCAATTACAAGCGGCCCGAGAAGGACGGGAAAGTGCGCTTGTCTCCGCCTTCCGCTTTACGCAAGATAGACCTTGTCTTAGTGGGCGAGGGCAGCCAGTGCGCAGACGCAGAGTTCGGCAAGTTTTTAAGGCGATGCTTGAGCAGCCCCACATGCCTTATTGCATGATCGTTGCGGACGTCCAGCAACTTCGACCCGTTCGCCTCGGGGAGAAGGTGACCGACGATGCCGAGGAGACTCTCTGTATGCAGGTGTGCGGGAGGGTGGAATGAGTCGAGCTGAGGACGGTGCACCGCACTGGAGATAAAGAGCTCCTGGGATTTCAGAACCACATTCGTTCCACGCAACCATCGCGAGAGGATTTGCCATCTTTTTTTGCTGGCCGGCATTTTGCTGGCGACTTGGAGAGCGCACTCCAGAGCACCATGCAATTCGAGAAACAGACAGGCATCCCGTTCACTTGGCTGTGCGCGACCAACAAAGGTTCAGAAGAAGTGTCTGCAGCCGCCCTGCGTTTAGCGGGCGTCACGCTGCAGGAGCTCGAGGCTTTCTTCGACCCGGACCCTGCAAGCCGAGTGCAGATCAAGATAGTGGCGAAGCCGGGCCTTCTCGTACGCCTCACTCGGATTTTGGACGAAGCGAGGGGGTTTGTTAATGGCGCGACGGCCGTGATCCATGAGAGTTTGTGCGGCAACGAGGTGTTTGTGGCGCGTCTCAGGGGAACTGGAAACTTGATCTTCGACCATCAGGAGGGCGCAGGGGGCGAGCATACCAGCAGGTGCCATATGGTTCAAGCAGAACAAGTACGCCGCAGTTCGCGGTTACGGCTACGTGGCCGTCTCCCGATTCTCTGCCAAGAAAGGTTGCTTCATCTTCGGGAGGCTCCAGCAGTCCGACTTCCTGCCAGTGGGGGGCCAGGGCGATGCCGAGCACGTGCGTCGTGGTTCTCTGCCTGGAGACAGTGACTCCGAAGATTCCGACTTTGATGGCTGGCAGGGCCCGTGCGAGGACAGCGAGTCGTCGGATGTCGACGATCGCCCAGCGCGCGAAGAGATGCCAGACTCTGGCTTCAGCGTTGGCGTGGCCCTGTCTGAGCAGGCGGACGAGAGCGTGCAGGGGGATGTCACCGACGAGGGCTGCGAAGTTGACAGCTATGCAGATGAGAGCCCGCCTATCAGCCCGAGCGACTTGCAGGAGGCGTCCGCGCGCACTGACAGCGACGTGGCCTCTAGGCCCCCATGCAGCCTCACAGATCCAGAGGAAGTGCGGCGGCCTGCGGACTCTGACTTCGCGAGCGATTCCATGGGTTTCGCAGACTTGGACAGCGCGGGCGCACAGTCCAATCCAGACTCCGTTGCGGCAGAAGAGACGCTCGCGCAGTGCCAGCAGCGGGGTCCGGGCGGCTCTCGCGCAGGACCAGACTTGGTTGTCGCGTGCAGACCATGCGCCCGTTGGAGTGGAGTCACCCACCAGACCATGCCGTTTCCCACGGACTTGGCGCCCGTCTCTGCCGACTTCCCATGTTTCAATTCGCCAGAAACGCGAGCCACCACTTCGTTGGGAACCCGAGCGGATGCCACGTGCGGCCTCCACGCTTTCAACCACGCGATGGTCCCCATCCGCACTGTCCAAGACCACCCGCCAATCATCTCTTCGCACCACCACTTCGAGAGCATTGCCTTGGCTTGCAGAATCGGAGACGCGCCTGAGTACCTCGTGGACTCCGCCGGCGGGAATTACGACGTCTCCGTTCTCATGGCGAATTTCGCGGCGGCGGGCACCGCGGCGATTCCCATGGCGCCAGCAGATGTTGAAACCCGATTGGGAGGCGTTTTTTTCCGACCGTGTGACAGCCGAAGGATGCTTTCATACGGGGGCTTACCTGATTCGCACACCTCAACATGGGGGGCACTGGATATGCGTGCTTAATGGTGCCAGGGTTACTGGAAACTCGCCCGATGCCGTGCCAGCCTTGCTGTGTGATTCGTTATACGCCGCTCCGCGCATTATGACTTTGGCCCAGTTGGAGGACCTTATCACAGCGTGTGCTTTCGAGCACGCGCAACGCGCATCGTGTCAGGATTTCTGTCCATGGTATTGTTTCCTGATTGGACTTCGGCAGGCTTGACAGACTCGTCTCAGTAGATGCTGCTTCTCCTTGTGTTGCTCTCTCGTTGTCCCTCCTGCCCGCAGGTGTGATATACTGCCGGGGGAAGCTTATATCAGTCTGAGTGCCCTGTTTCCCCCTTCCTTTCTTTCTTTCCCTGTCTTTTCGTGCTCGCTCCCTGTTCGAACGGGGTCCAGGTTTCGAACGCCAGGAAAAATCATCTTTTGTGTAGGGCGCAGCGCTGTTGTCGCAAGTTCTGCTGCCGCTGTGCTGTGCTCTCCGCTTGGGACTGCTGTTAAAAATGCGGATGCCCGAGGCCCTGAGCACTCGAAGGGACCCCTGAGATCTTGAAGGTTCGACGCAGATGCTTCGAATAATGGTTTCGACCAGTACAACAACATCCCCCCGAAAGGGGTGTGGTCAACAGACGTCGCGGGCGGGTGCATGAGAGAGGGGATACGCACATGGGAAACAACTCAGCTTGTGAAGTCGTGTGTTCGCAAGATGGTCGTCTTCGTTGTTGTCGTAGTCGTCGTTGTTGTCGTAGTCGTTGTCATGATTGCCATTACCCGTATTAGTAGTACCTCTCTCCGTAGCCGTTTTTGCCCAGGCGGTCCGAATCAGAGCCGGCCTTCGGGAATAGTATTCCGCTGTGTGCGCGCCTTTTGAACGCCAGGGGGGATCGACCTTCGGGGACCTCGGCGGGCGGCGGACCTGGATATACTCAGGTCTTGGAATGACCAGATATATCCATATTCACCGCCTGCGTATGTCCCAGACGATCGATCCGCCAGGCGGTGGTTACGGATGAATCCCCGCCCCGCATTGGAGCCTGAACTCGTGGGCAAGCTCTTCGACTCCTGAGGCGCGAGCCCAAGATGGCCTTCCTGTGTTGCCGGAGGCGGCGGGAGCCTCAGGGCTCGGAGCGCCCGGGTGCGATCGAGCTGATCGCTCGGGAGGGACAGAGGTGCGGCAGCCTCCAAGGCAGCAGGGCGCCAGCAGTGGAGGTTGCAGTGGATCGGGGCTCGAAGCTGCCTCGGCCCAGATCCCTCCAATCCCAGCCTGGCCCTTTCACTCGTCGGCTTTTTCAACAGGGTCCTCAGCCCAGGCCCGCCCTACCTACAGGCTTTTGCCTTTCCCAGACGTCCGATGTTTTGATTGCTTCCATACAGTCCCCCTGGAAGTCCCAACCCCTTCCCCATGGCCGGCGTTTCATCCCAAGTCGTTCTTTGATGGCCTAGGGCCCGGCGAGGACGCTGGTCAGGTCAGGTCAGAAGCCGTGCATCTGTAAGACGCGTTGGCAAAAGCATCCGGATCGCTATTGGACCGATGCTTGGCGGTGCGCCTGCCTGTAGGTGAAAAAAACACCTCCGGGTTGCGATAGCGCGCGGCGGACAACGGAGTGCGACACGACTGTGAAGCAGAAGCACAAAGTGCATCACGATTGTGACGCACAATATACAGCGCCCGACTGCGAGGCACCGGTTACAGACAATACAATTAGCACGCCAGCAATGAGGAGGAGGAGGAGGAAGAGGAGGAGGGCAGCAAGACAGGGGAGGTCACAAATTCACCTGCTCCAGGGCAAACACTGACTTCGCCCACTGCTGTCGCGGGCGCCCTCTGCCGCGGCGGCGTGCCCAGTCTTTTGGGGTGCCATCCGGGTTGCACACGAGACGTCGTCTTAACGAATTAAATGGTTGGTCTGCGATACTCCTGTACAGTGCAATCTGCTTCTCGTGTAAAACCTGTGACAAAGGCAGCGACTCAGCCTTCTCCAGAACGGTCGCGTTAGAGATTCTAGATACAAACGAATACGGAATACCGAGGACCTTGCGTAAACACTTACAGTGGAAAGCATCTAGCCGATCCCTCTCTGCCTTCAACAACCATAAAGAATCCAGAGAGTATAACAACTTACTGATCACACAACTCTAATAGATATGTAATTTGTGACGCCGGCCAATGGATGTATGAGCCCACAATTTCTGAAGCTGTCTGAATAGGTTCGTGCTCTCACCGATCCGTCTCAAGAGTTCGCTGTTTGCCCAGCCGTCGCAGGACACAAGCCCTCCCAAGTAGATCGCTTCTCTGACGCTTCGGATAGGATCCCCACTAGGTTGTTGAAGCGCACTCTGGCAACCAACTTGTATCTGCACGGTCTTGTCCCAGTTCAACTCCATGCCGTATTTTGGACCCTCCAGAACGATGTTGTTCAACATCTGTTCTAAGCTGCCGGCGTGGGTTGACGCGAGCAGAGTGTCGTCCGCGTAGAGGAGGTCTCTGGTGACGACGTATTCTGGCTCCTCCGCAAGTGCCAGATCAGAAAACGCGTCGTGAAGAAGAACGGTTTGTACAATGATGAACAAGTATGGGGACAATGGGCAACCCTGGCCGATGCCCGCCATTTGTTTCCTTTCACTTGAGCGGCCGCAATGGTCCACTATCGTGAAATATCTGTGTGCGTATATTCCCCGGATCATGTCCACCATAGGATCCGGAATGCCAAAACGTACCAATGCCTTGCATAAGCAATCTGGCTTGACGCGGTCAAAAGCTTTTGCCCAGTCCAAAAGTAAAAGTATCAATCCGTTGCCTTTGTCTTGATGAGCTGCATTCACCATTCTCCAGATTATCGATAATGCTGCCGCCGTGCCGCGTTTGGGCCAGAAGCCGAATTGAGATTGTCGAATCCTGTCTTCTGCCCCTCCTTCGAGAAGCCTCCAATGCAGCATCGCCGCGAGCGTCTTGTACCCGACAGTAAGCAAAGATATGGGACGGTAGTTGCTGGGTAGCGTCGCGTCTCCCTTCTTAAATAGCAGAATTACGTTAGCTCTCTTCCAGCTTTTGGGCAAGTTTTTTTCTTTCCAGCATGTTTGGCATATCTCCAGTAGCGCGTTGCAGGCGCCATTGCTTTTACCAATGATCTTCCAGAACTCTGGGGGGACATCGTCTGGCCCTGCCGCCTTTCTGTTCTTCATCTTGTGGAGAGCACGCTGGAGCTCAGTGATAGTAAAAGCAGATACGTCCACGTTCAAAGTCGGGCCCAAAACTTCATTAGCTGTAGGCGTCAACTCTGCAAAACGAACTTGCCATTGCACTTGTTCAAAGTAGGCGTCTGGTCGTTCAGCTGTGTCCGTCATGTGCCCGTCCATATGTCGAACGCCAGCGTGCTTCCTCGCAACGGGTCTTCGCAATTTCCGTACTGCTTCCCAGCTCCCTCCAACCAGTGCCCGTTCCATCCAAGTTTGCTTATCCCTCTGGCCCGCATTCCTGATTGCTTTGTTCATGGCCATCTCCTCGTCGTAATTACCGGCATGTCGGTGAGTCTTCCTCTCTTCGATCAAATTCAGCGTGGATTGGGATATCCATGAACGCCGGGATGCGACAGCACGTGTTCGCAACGCCGTTGATGCCGCGGTGAACGCAGATGTCAATTTATCCTCCATGGAGTCTAAAGTAGATTCTCAGTGTTCGGAAAACCTTGAAATAAACGCTGCTTCCACGTCCGGGTCAACCAAAGAGGAAACGTCGCGCCGTGGAGGGTGAGATTTGCGTGCGGCAGGGAATTGAAAGGCGAAGTCCGCTTCCAACAAGTAGTGGTGGGTGTTGAGAGCTTCTTCCCGGCGTACTTGACATCTCCCCACCAGTGGAAGTATAGATTGGTGGCACAAAACAAAATCCAGCTGAGCAAAAAGATCGGGTGTAACCGCTTGTGTTGGGGATGTCCCAAGATCTCGGTACGTCGCCAATTCGCCAGCTGGTAAATCGAATAATGTATTTGAAATGGCCATGTCTGCACTAAGACAACATTCCAGTAATAATTGGCGGTTGGTGACAACAGTGGTCGCCTTCTTCGGAGGATGCGATTCGAAAACGTACTCCCCAGGTATTTTGTGTTCCCCGACCCTTCGCTTCAATAGCCTGGCGTTGAAGTCGCCCAGTGCCACTGTGGTACTATGGAACGTCGTAGGTCTGACCAACCCCTGGAAGTCGGAATAGAAGTCCAGCCGGTCGTCCACGTCGTGCCCGCCATGCGGGGCGTACACAGATAGTACCGTGATCATGCCTCCCACCACTTTGATTCGTAAAGATGCTGATCTCGACGAGCACGCCCGGAAAGCCACTATTGCAGAAGAGGCCCATGGGGAAAGTATGAAACCAACGCCTGCGTCAGATCGAGCCTCCTCGTCCAGCTCCCCGGATAAGCATACCAAGAATCCGTTGTCGTTGTGTAATATTCCGCACCGTGGAGATGAGTTTCTTGGATGCACAGAACAGCTATACATCGTCTTTTCATCATCTAAGTAAGCTCCACAAGCTTGGCGATCGAATCCCCTCTGAGGCCTTCCACGTTCCACGTGGCGAACGTCTGCGTTTGCAGCGGGCGGCACATTCTGCGAGGCTTGCCCCAACTAGTGTAAATATGTTGCGGAGTGTCGTGCTTCTCTATGTTAGAGGTACTATTCCAAGACAATTTGGATGAACAGGAAAATGGTGAAACGCATGTGGTGGAGGTAACTTTGCCCTGACCACGAAAATCGGTGGACTCGCCGACGGTATGCCCATCTGCGTCCGCGCCGGGAGCCGCATCCAGCACGGCATTTGCCTTCAGCTTCCGGTGGCGCTTTTGCTGTTGATGTTGTGAAAGAACAGAAGTAGGGACACTTGGAGAGATGGTATGTAGAGGTTGCTGGCGTTCTCGAGGATAAAACTGCGCTTGAAGATTAGGAAACTCAGGGACTCCATCTGGATCAGAGTCACAATCGGAACCAGCACTGGAGACGCTACCGTTAGGAAGGTTCCCACGCTGGGCGCGTAGAGGACGAACACGCTGCAATGAACAGCCTGTGGTTGGTGCGGCAGTCCTGGTAGAACGAGGCACTGAGGATCCCACAGGTGGCTGCAAGAAGGTATCTTTGCCCATTCTCGTCCCATTGCCGGCTGAAGGATCGACATTTTTGACCTCATCCGAATCGCAATCGGTTTTCAGGGATTCGGATTCCGCGCGTAAGGAACTACATGATACAAAAAGTTTTTCAGCAATACCAAAAACATCCAAATTCGACTGCTGCTGGTCGGCTCTGGCGCTGGCCGTAAAAAAACATTGGGTTCGAGCTGATACCCAGCGCCCGCCGCATTTCCTACATGTTGTTGTGCCCTTTTGAACTGCCTTTCGGGCTCCCCTTCATCCCGGCATGCGCCCGTTGCAGGATCTGATCGCATTTCTGCGTTAGTTCCATAAGCTTGGGGTGCTTGTGCAACTCATTCCAAGTTTTCCACTCTCCCTCCCACATTCGCTCCATAGTGGTACCCGCGATGCAGACTGTAAGTGCGAGTTGGCCGCCACCGTGTACTTGGAAAGGAAACTCTTCAGAAACACGTATAATATACTGATTGTCCAAATCGTTTTTCAAACTGTGTTTGAGACCGAAACAAAAATTGCGTGCGGCACGTTCTGCTGGCTCCCTGTCCGGCGACGCCCATACAGAGTTCATGCCACGTTTGATGTTCGCACTCCGCAACAACGCGACGGCAGTGTCCCGGTCCAGCGTGGCTTCAAACTCTGCGAAAATGATGTTCTTAAACTCGCCTTTCGCATAGATATGTTTAGGGATAGTGCCGCCCATCGACGACAATCTGTCGCGGAGAAAAGCTGCTGCTGCCGCGTCGTCGTCGAAGTTGTTTAAAGTACCAATTACTGCTGTAACTGCGCGCTTGCCGTTGTAATGGTAATTGTCAGCAGAATGTTGCGATTTGCCGGACGCCGATCGTGGAGTGCAAGATGCGATGTGCTCCAAGTCGTGTTGGATCTTGTCGATGCGCTCGTTAATGTTGTTCTCCATGTTGGTAATGCGTATGTCAATGTCCTCAATTTCGTTCTCGAACTTCGTAGTTACTTCTTCGATCGAGGCTTTAAGCGGCCGTGTTGCTTCCAGCAAGT